TAGAACATTTAGAATCTACTAATCCAGACATTTTCATACAGAGTTTAGCCTGTTGGTCATTTCATAAACTAATGAATTTGTAGTGAATGTTATTTGAATACAATGCAGGTGATTTCAAAATAAGAAAATGTTGCATTTTACCAATATAAGAACCTGGTTTTACTAGAGACGTTTGATTTTCATTGTTATTACATTGTCACTTATTAGATATAAGAAGATGTGGTATGAGTGCCAATGACACAACTCTCCATCCAAGTCAAAATTTATAAAAGTAAACCATTATAGGTCAAAATACGGTCTTCAACTCGGAGCCTTGGCTCACACCGAACAGTAAGCTATAAAGGGCCCCAAAAATTAGTAGTGTAAAACCATTCAAACGGGAAAACCAACGGTCTAATCTATATAAAAACGAGAAACGAGAAACACTTATGAACCACATCAACAAACGACAACTACTGAACATCAGATTCCTGACTCAGGACAGGTGCAAACAAATGCAGCGGGTTTAAACGTTTTAATGGTACCAAACCTTCACCCTTTTTCTGAAACAATAGTGGAACATCACAACATAGAAAGACACACTATAAAATATCAACTGAAATAGCTTAACTCAATCAAAGGACATATTAACACCAGTGAACATACACTGAACAAATAAATTTGACCTATTATACAATGTAAATACAAAATAAATAAACTAAGGGAAGAATAATAAAAGTAACATGTTATATCGGTATGAAATGTAACTGTTTTAGATTTCTTTGGTGTGTCTATATATCTAGTATGCTTTTTTATATTAAAAATTATGTTCATGAATAAATTATTTGTTGATCGAGGTTAACAGGAAATAAATTATATCACAGATGCATATCGATCCACAACAAACATGACATATGATCACGTCTTGAAAACCGAGATAACGGATAAGTAATCCGAGATCACGGATTAGAAACCGAGGTTACGGATTATTAAACCAAGATCTTGGATTGTTAAAAGCTCATATATATTTTGACAAAGATTAAGGTCGACAATTGCCGTTTTAGGTCAAATATGGAAATTTCAAGATGTTTATAATGTTATTATGACATCACACTAGTCATATCTGCACTAAACTATAAAGATTATGCTAACCAGTTCAATTATCAATTAAATTAACATAACTTAACTATTTGTGAAATTTAAGGGACCAAATAATTGCTCTTCCTGTCAGATAGTCAATTGAATATGTTGGAAAAACCGGCCAGAGGACAATGTGTCACATATCAAGTGTTTCATGTATTGATTTGTTGTGGAAATTAATTAACACCAGCAAATGTACATTTTTTTTTAGGTCATTTCAATTTTCATATCTATAATTTGGTAAATGAATAAAACAAAATAAATTTTGTTATTGAATTCTTGAATTTAACTACAATGTTATTTCATTACTATTGAAAGTGTATGATGATGTATATTCTATGCTGGATTTAAATAGTAAAATATTCAATAACGCAAATGTATATTAAAACACATAATTTTATATACAAAATGTACGTAATTTTAACACCAAAACAGTATATATGAATTGAGGCAATGGTAGTTTACTGAAGTTTATATCCCACAAATGAATTCAGAAGACGTATCCATGCAACAAACAGAAACTGAGGGAAACGAATGGGCGCAAAAAAGCAGCGAGACCTGGTGCGTTGACAGGATAAGCGTCTTTTGCTATGCATGCATCAACCCCTAAACACTAATAAAATTATGCATGAGTTTCTTATTGACAACATATTTGTTGAATTTGTAGACTTTTTCCAGAAATAGTTGGCATTCCTATGGGAACGATCTGTGCGCCTCTCCTTGCCGATCTCTTCTTACTTTCATATGAGTTGGAGTTCCTTCAGACACTTAAAAAATAAATATATCCTCCAGAACTAGTAATTAAATAAATAGCAGATACGGCTTCCTCCGCTTCATTTTTATACTAATACCTCGAATTTGAAATAAACTGTCATCTCAGTACCAGAAGTTATAACAAACGCATCTTCGCTAGCCAGGGGTTACGATCCACTTCCCTCCTCTCCACCCTTGGCAGATTTAGATAGAATTTCGGAGACACAAGGTAATGATTTTCATTGGTTGCAGTCGAAACTCGCTGCATCCAATCAAAAAGCGCCTATAACATGATCATGTGTAAATGTAGAAAGTGTATGTAAACAATTGCCACGTGCTTATTGTGCAACAAGTCTTTACATCCCTAAACATACGACTATATTTAGTGACAATTTGAATGTTTTTAATCAACTAATAGAAGTTCCTGTGTATGTTTCTTGCACAAATGCATGAATGTCAACGTATATTTTCGTTTCCTGCTTTACCAAGTGTGTAGAATCTAGACGCTACCGTGTTTTTACCTCCAAATTGAAGAGTTCAAGTGCTACCATTGGTCAAGAATAATGTATTCGGAATGGGCGTGACTTTAATCTACCGATAGATGGCGCAACATTGTTATTACAAATGTTGGCTTAATCTGCCAAGGGTGGAGAGGAGGGAAGTGGATCGTAACCCTTGGCTAGCGAAGATGTGACAAACGAGACGATTTTAATTTTGAAATTATCAATGTCCCTCACCTTAGTAGTAATATACCAACTTTATCTGCATATGACATATACATTTCCCAACTCATTTGGTATTCAAAAGCTTGCAGCTGCTACTCAGACTTTATAAAACGTCACCAGTGTCTGGGCAGAAAGTTGATGAACCAGGGTTATGTCAAAGAACATGCGAATTATCACAGGAAAGGTTTAAAATGTAAAAACTTTAATATTTGTGGAGATACGTGCAACAATATTTTATCTTAGCATAAAAGCAAAACCAACCTAAATCAAACTTTAACTGAGAAATTTGAAACCTGAAATTCCTAATGATTTATTAATTTTTAATCGGAGATTATTAGGAAGGCCTGTATCGACCCATTGATAGAAAAAGGAAAATGGAAATATAACGTTGACGCGCTTTTCTTAATTTAATATCGTCAGGAACGGTAAACCTAAAATATTAGAGGTGGAGATGTACAAATATTTGAATAATTGAGGAGATTAAAAAAACCAAAGGAACTTAAAAAGAACAGTCATATTAACCTTTAAACAATTTCTAAATATCAACTTGGAATTATAGAAAAGTATGTATTAAATCATGTAAGCACCGAACAACTGATTTAAATGTATTTTTTCAACCTATGAAGATAAATTATTTATAATATTTGAGTTGACACTTGTACAGTATATACCAGTTTATGCAATATGAATTCTCACATTGATCATTATTTAGGAAATATATAATATGTTATCTGAACTTGGAAGATTTCCAATATATTTTAATATTATAAAAGGAATGTTATTGCACTGGTATAGATTAGAGAATTTAGGTAATAATTTTCCTCTATTAAAAGAGGCATATACACAATCAAAGACACTACATCACATGAATATAACATCATGGTATGGTTCAATAAATGTTGTTTTTAAAATACTTGGTATTGACTATACAAATGCCATAAATGCTCCATTTTGTGAATCCTTATACAAATTTAAGAAATATATACAAACCAAGCTATCAATATTGTTTATTAGCTGTTGGAAAAAACAAATAGATAAATTTTCAGACAGTAAACTGAAAACCTACCTTTTATATAAAACAAATTTTGGTTTTGAAAAATATCTAACATTGATCAAGAATTTTGAACTTAGAAGAAGTTTTACTAAATTACGTGTATCTTCTCATAGATTACAAATAGAATTAGGTAGATATCAGGGTATTCCCCGAATTAACAGAATATGTAATAAATGTTCTTCCAATACTGTCGAAGATGAGGCTCATTTTCTATTTGATTGTAACAAATTTGAGGATGATAGAAATTGTATGTTAGCTAGTATTGCACAATATAATTCTTATTTTAATCATATGAACAGTCAAAGCAAAATTATCTGGTTATTTAGTGTAGAAAATGTTGAGTTACTTAAAATAATATGTAATTTTATATACAAACATCTTCCTTAGTGAAGATTAGTTAAAGGAAATCTATGTGTGTATATACATTTGATTGGACATAGAAAATTATATTCATCTGAATATCACAAACATACTAGCCGATTAAAAAACAAAATAATTGTTAAGATATATTATTTATTCAAATGTTCTCTTATATCCTTGAGGCATCGTCCCCTGGTATCAACTGCATTCAAGTTACCTATGATGCTTCCTTGTTTGCTTTTGATACAGGTAGGAAAGAGACATTTACACACATTTTACATGCCTATGGCCCATAAGGTATCGCCCCCTGGTGTCAGCTGCCTTTAGGAAACCATAATGCTTTCCTATTTGCTGCTGACACAGGATGAGTCATGGACATGTTTAATTTCTACTTTCTTTTTGGCTAATTATTATATATTTAATTGATCCAACTTTTTGTGTACTATACATATGTGGATATCTATTTTTCTTTTTTTCTTTTTGGGCTGCTTGTTTGTTATCTATATCAACCACACTTGCAATAAAATGCATTAGTATTAAAAAAAAAAACATACTATAGATTCTTTATCTACGTATTCTTTAAGAACTTAAATAGTTCTCGTTTAACTTTTTTTTTTTTTTTTATCTCATTGTTTGTATTGTATTATGAAAAAATTATTGATGTTGTAATGTTTATGCCCTTTGGGGCCCATAATTGGAAATAAAATATCTTATCTTATCTTATAATAAAATTGCAACAATGACACATCAACAGCAGTGATTTTTGCGAATCTAATGTCATAAATGAAATTGTTTTGTTTCATCACTCATGATCTGTCAATTCTAATAATAATAATACGATAATTAAAATATAACAGCATGGTCCAGATAAACAACGTGGGTAAAGTACCGATAATACATCAAAACCAATTAGTGTTTTAATTAATAATAAAATTTTAATTACAACTCTTCATTTATATAACTTGACTTGAATTACTAGCTGTACTTACATGTTTTGCCATCAGTGGTGGTTGCTACACATCCAATTACATTGTCACAACTACAAAATATATTCCATGAAACTCTGTTGTATTCTAGAGATAAAAAGTTATTCTATAGTATATAATCAACACCTATATTGCATATTAATAAACCGTATGTTGACCATCAGACTTTCCTTGGACTATTGTGTTGTTCGTTGTGTTCTCATTTCTCGTTTTTCATATGAAATATTCAGCTCATACTTACATACAAGACGTTAATCAGTAACAGCATTAACTTACAGTTTGTTACAGCGAACATGTAACAATAGATTTTCTGTTGAATAATTGAATAAAATCTTTGGTTATAAAAATTATAATTGTCTGGCTTACAAGATGAGAGTAACTAAAACATGTAGTATCCATAAAATACATTTTGAGCTATTTTAAATCAGTAGACTCGATACACTATACAAAATACATATGCACTATTTCGTGAAGAGGAAATGAGACTAATCAAAGCAATATGAACAAAAAACACACCTAAAATGAAACTTTGAGGTACAAACACGCACAATAAAACCAAGATTCATATAAGATATATAAACGGCCAAACATATCATGTATCGCAATACGTGTCGTTGAATACAGTGGTTAAATTGAGGCGAACTAGCAACCGGACATTGAGGCATTTATTTAAAATAATTGACCATTTTGTGATTTGGACTGTATCACGTGTATCGTTATTCCATTGAATTAAACAGAATAAACCCCTATTACGTATTACGTGACAGAAAATAAGATCGACCATTGGCATCACTTGTAAGTCATAAGGAGCGTACCAACTGTACACTTATATGTGTAAAGTATTTGTGACGTAGTAAATATTCATTCAAAATAGAATAGAAGAATATTTAATAAATGAAAGAATATTAAAGAAATAAAGTAAAGATTTGTTGAATTTACAAAGAAAGTTAGAATCATAATTTAAAATAGAAAGGTTCATATTTTCAAGAAACTAAATTATATTGGTTTAAAAAGTCTTAAACAAAGTTACAACACAATATTATGTAACAGGAAATTTTATAAAACATTATCAAAAAGATTGTGACATGTTAATCCCCCTGAAATAAATTAAGCTTAAGTAATTATGAGAAGGGGCACATTTTAGACAATAAATCATTATCAATTGGGATAGCGTCCCGCCGAAGGCAAAGCGATTATTTTATAAAAAAATAATTGTCTATTGTAAAATAGTGGGAGGGAGGAGTAACTCAAATTAGTTGTAAATTGGGGAATAAATTAACTTTTGATTGGGCAAGCAATTTTAGGCTGATCTTGGCGTGACCACGTGAGGAAAAGGTTTTAAGGGATAAATTTTGATATTAAAACTTCACTTGGTCACTTGATAACAAGAATAAAGATCTAGCCTGAATTTGTGTCCATTATATTTAAGGTATGTAAAGTATACATGTTTGAAACAAATAAGTATGAATAATAATTTAACAGATTTATTTTAAATATAAAATATAACATTGTTCAAATTGAAGATAAAAGAACTTATTCGTTTAACACAAGTTTATCTACAAATTGTAAGGATTGTCGGTTTGTTGAATATTAAGTAAATTAATTAAGAAATCAGGCATATGATAAGTTCCGTAAAGATTGCATGTGTGAGCAGCTATTGGTTTTATTTTTATTATATTAAAGGGACATAATTTGATATTGTTTAGAAAGATGCTCGTGTGAATAATACAATTTCAGAAATAATAGGAATCTAAGGAATATTTAAAATGATATTTATAGATAAGTTCAACTCTAAGATATTCAGGAAACTGAACAATAAGCTGTAAGTTTTGGGATGGCGAAAATAGATAGGTTTGGTCGATAGGAGAAAATGTTTATGTCAACGGTACATCTTGATTATTAAAATCAGGTTTATCACTTTTAGTTGCTAAGATATAAGTATAAATATATTGATTGGAAGTCTTTCAATAATTATGTCTTTAAAGTCTAATCACTCATTTTACAATTGAAGTCCTTATTTAATATGAATAATAAAATGTACTGCCAGTTCAATTTGAGCTTGAAATGTTGAGATGATAAATGAGGATGAGGTATAGTTCTTATGGTGTTCATTGTTATACATTTAAAATAAAATATTTAGTTTGGTAAAAAGGCAGGAACAATCCAATGTTGACTTTTGAATTTATTTTTATATGTTTTTAAAGAATTCATAAATGTGAGTTAGTTCCCTTGTTAATAGATGAGTTTGAAATCTACAGAACTTGTATTTAAAATTCAGTATATGAATGTATGTTGTTTATTTGATATCGCATTTATGTACAACTGTAATTAAATTTCACTTGGTCACTTGATAACAAGAATAAAGATCTAGCCTGAATTTGTGTCCATTATATTTAAGGTCCAACTATAAAAACAGAAGACGATACAAAAAACACCCCAAGTATCGACACAACAGATTTGGTAGAGGAGAGTGAAAAGAAAACGGTACCTTACATCAGAAATGCCAAGCACCCCAGTGAATAGAAACTTGCGATCAGCAAACAGAGGTACAGAATCAGAAGAACAAAGAGCAGAAAGTATTAATACAACTATTGAAACAACGCAACAAAGAACAGAAACTGTGGGAACAACAACAGGTACAAGTCTGAGTACAACAGCAGAATTTCATTCAGAAAGTGGCACACCGATAACATTACAAACAGAAGGTGGAGCAGCGACCAATATGCAACAACAAGAACAAACTCCAGAAGTTCAACAGGTACAACCATTTATTTTTAACGCAACTGCACTACTTCAACCGTCAACTTATGACGGATCTTCAAAACCATCATCATGGATTTCCCAATTTTCGTCATGGACAAAACTACAAAACTTAACAGACAAAAACGCCATAAATGCGTTAACATTTTATCTATCTGGTCCCGCAAAAATTTGGTTTCAAAGTTTGCCAGATTCAGCAAAAACAAATCTAGCATCAATCATTAAACTGCTAGAAGTAAGATTTACAACATCAGATGATGAAGATATTTTGACAACACAAGCGACAAATGAGAGTGTACATGAATTTTTAGACAGACTTACTCTAAAAGCTACAAGTCAACGCATCCCAGAATGCTTAGTTCTAAAAATAGCAAGAAAAGGGTTTAAACAGGCACTACAACAATCTATAATACAGCAAAATCCGAAAAACATGGCTGAATTAAGAGAAGCCGCCGTCATTGCAGAAAAATGCTTAGCATCAAACTTTAGCCAGCAAATTTCAGTCAATGCCATTTCACAAAATGACTTTAAATCGTTAAGTGATACAATTAAATTATTATCTGACAAGGTAGAAAATTTAAATATTGAGAACCAAGAACTAAAGGCTAACTTTGGCAAGGCCAATCAAAATTACCAAAACAAGCCAAATTGGCAAAATAATAATGCTCCTGGCAGAAACTTTAATGGTCAAAGAAATTTTCAAAAAAATTCAAATTTTCAACAAGCCAGACCAGCTTACAATACAAATGCCAGGAACTCATATAATAAGACCAACACATGCACAGCATGTGGCAATATGTCATGTTCAGGCAAAAGGGAAACTTGCGATGCAAGAAACAAAACATGTTATAAATGTGAAAGAGTTGGACACTACTCAAGGCAATGTCATAGTATTAGAAACATAAGAGGCGAAATTATTAGGCATTAGGGACGCGAGCCTATTTTTAGGCGAATGTCTAAAAATGGGCAAAGGGGCAAGTCTCCAAGAGTTAACTTAATTACCCCCATGGATAAAAATAAAATTACAATAGAAATTTATGGTGTTAAAACAATAGGACTTGTTGATACAGGTGCATCTATCTCATGTGTCTCAGAAAACTTGATAGATAAGTTGAATCATAGTAAAATAGAGCTTGAGAAAACAAATTTTATGAATATTTATGGAGTAGGAGGTGAAGAACACAAAGTACTGGGTAAAGTTACACTCCCACTTAAATTTCAAGGACTTGTCATTAAACATAAATTTCATCTACTTCAAGATTTACAATATCCTGTAATTTTAGGTGATGAATTTTTATTACAGAATAAATGTAATATCCATTATCCCTCCCGTACACTATATTTACATGAAGGGTCACTACAAGTCTCCCTCCTTAGTACAAAATCTGGAAAAGCAAGAACTTCTAAAAGATTCAAGGTGCCTGCTAATAGTATGACAAATGTTTCAGTAAAAATTTCAGATATTTTTTTGAATGATGTAGTGTTATTAGAACCACTACCTTTACTAAATAAATATGAACTGATAGGAGCCTCTTGTTTAGTAAAAGTTTCTAAATCAGGTTCAAAACTTCAAATTATTAACCCTACTGATATGGCAGTCACAATACCTAAATTTAGCATAATAGCAAATGTGATGCCAGTGGTTGAAGACAGTATTCAAAACATGAATGATGATGAAAGTGAAAAACAAAAAAACAAAAGAGTAGCAAATATAAATAGTTCAAAAATGAAGAGGGAAAAAAGTAAAAGAACTAAAAGTAAAATTGATTTTGACCTTGACTCATCAGACATGACAATTGATCAGAAACAAAAATTTCTGAAATTTTTAAATGTAAATAGAGATGTGTTTGCAGCTGACTTATCTGAATTGGGGAAATGTAATATAGGGGAACATAAAATTGAAACAACTGACAACATTCCTATTAGAGTACCCCCATACAGAGCAACGCCCAAGGTCAAAGCTGAAATAGAAAAGCAAATTGACAAAATGTTAGAGAACAAAATTATTGAACCATCCACTTCCCCATACAACAGCCCAGTGGTGCTCTGTCAGAAAAAAGATAAGTCCTTTAGATTTTGTGTAGACTATCGCAAGCTAAATTCTAAAACATCTGTAGAATGCTGGCCTTTAGCAAGCTTAAATGACGTTTTTGACGCTATTGGGGAAGCACGAGCCACTATATTTACTAGTCTCGATCTTTGTCAGGGATATTGGCAAGTCCCACTCCACAAAGAATCACGGGAAAAAGCTGCTTTTGTAACCCATTCAGGAATATATGAATGGACAAGAATGCCATTTGGTCTGAGAAACAGCAGTATTACTTTTTCACGAGTTATAAGTCAAGTATTACAAGGTCTAAACTGGAAAAATGTATTGGCTTACATAGATGATATTCTGGTATTTAGTAAAAATTTAGAAGATCATATGCATCATTTAGATCAAGTTTTTGACAGACTAAAAAAAGCTAACCTTAAACTAAAGCCAAGCAAATGTCACTTTGGAGTTAAACAAGTAAACTACTTAGGCCATATTTTGACAAAAGAAGGGGTTCAAACAGATCCTGAAAAGATTCATATTGTCAAAAATCACCCAGCTCCTAAAAACCAGCATGAGGTACGACAATTTCTAGGCTTATGTAACTATTACAGAAAATTTGTGGAAGGCTATGCAAAAATAACAATTCCATTAAATTCCCTACTACAAAAGGAAAGTGAATTCAAATGGACAGAGAGATGCCAAGAAGCATTTGAATTATTAAAATCAAAACTAATATCAGCACCAATTTTGGCATTCCCAGACATGTCAAAACCTTTTATTCTAACTACAGATGCATCAGGTCAAGCTATAGGGTATATACTTGGTCAAAAAGATGACCAGAATAGGGAAAGAGTAATATCTTTTGGTGGTCAGGCTCTGAAAAAGGAAGAAAAGAAATGGACTGTTAGTGAAAAAGAATGTTTGGCTGTGTTAGAAGGCATCAAACACAATAGGGTTTACTTATCCCATGACAAATTCACTGTTTTCACTGACCATAAAGCTTTATTATGGCTAAATAAGGTTAAAGATACAAATGCAAAATTAGGAAGATGGGCGTTAGAGTTACAGAATTTCACCTTTGATATAATCTTCAAAGAAGGTAAAAATAACAAAAATGCAGATGCAATCTCAAGAATCCCCTACCCACCCACCCCCGAAAAGGTAGATATTAACCAAGTTAAAATAAAAAGTGTAGAAACAAATGAACCAGAAGATGCAAGTATGTTAACAGAAATCACATTTGAATATGATATTCAAAATCCATGCATTGCTGCCATTAATGATACAGAAGACACTCAGGTAAGATTGAATGACATGTCAGAGATAGCAAAGCTACAAAGACAATGTACAGAATTGTCAGACTTAATAACCTTTCTAGAGAAAAACATATTACCTGAAAATGATAAAAAGGCAAAAAGTATAACATATGAAAAAGACCTGTACAGATTTGGTACAGAAGGTGAGTTAATACATCAATACCTACCTAGAACAAAAGGAGTACCTAGGTCAGAAGTGATGATAGAACAAATTGTACTTCCAAAAATTATGAGACAAGAAGCTTTAGAAGCATACCATGATTGTAGAGCTGGTGGAGGTCATAAAGGTTTTCGTAGAACATATGCAGCTTTACAGCAAAAATACTACTGGTCCGGTATGTATCAAAATGTTTACAACTATGTCATTTCTTGTGATGCATGTCAGAGAGCAAAAAGACCAACAAATAAACGACCAGCACCATTAATGCCTCTGCCAGTTGCAGAAACATTTGAAAGATGGCACATGGATATTTTATCAGGATTTCCCACAAGTAAAGATAAGTATCAACATGTATTACTAGTGGTTGACAGTTTCTCACGATGGGCTGAAGCATTCCCACTGAGAACACAAGAAGCTAAGGAAATTGCCAATATTTTGTACAAAGAGGTATTTACTCGGTTCGGAAGTCCTAAAACTTTGGTATCTGATAGAGGTCAAAATTTCTGCTCAAAGCTCATACAGGCTTTAAGTGAACTTTTCCATGTTACACGTCACACAACCAGTTCATATCACCCACAATCAAATACAACGTGTGAAAGAATGAATAGTACAATAGCTCAGACCTTACGTACATACTGTACTAAAGACCAAATGAATTGGCCAGAGCTTATTCCTAGTGTTATGATGGCTTTACGGATGTCACCAAATACAGAGTCAACAGGTTACTCCCCATTCCATATGGTTTTCGGTAAAGAAATGAACATACCATTTGATATCTCAGTTAAGCCGAAAGAAAACATAGGTAGGTCAGTAAGAGAACATATTAATGATTTGATAGACCACTTAAAAGCAGTACAAACAATTGCCAAGAATAATGTAAGTAAAAGTCAAGAGAAAACTAAGACATACTATGACAAGAAGGCAGCAAAACCAAAATTTCAGGTAGGAGACCGAGTTTTAATGCAGTGCATGAAAGTACCAAAAGGTTCAGCGCCTAAGCTCCATGAAAAATGGGTAGGTCCTTTTTACATTAACCATGCCAATGAAAACACTTATAAATTGAGGAGGTTAAGTGATCATAAATTAATAAAGTCAAGAATTCATGCAAATAGGATAAAAATATATGAGGATCCTAGGGACCATAGGCAACCCCAAATAGATAGACAAGTAGATGAACAACAGACTGACAATATAGATGACGGACAGCAAAACAATGAAGAACATATTCAAGAAAATGATAATAATGATATTCAAGAAAATGATAATAATGATATTCAAGAAAATGATAATAATGATATTCAAGAAAATGATAATAATGATAATCAAGAGAATGATGAGACAATTGATGATAATCAATTTGAAGCTGAAAAACTATTAGCAAAAAAAAGACAAAATGGGCAAAATTTTTACAGGGTCAAATGGGTTGGATATAAAAAAACAACCTGGATACCTGAAAAAGACATTGGTGAAGGTTTGTTGGTTGATTTTCACAATAAACATACCAAAGATGGTAAAATAAGAAAAAGAAAACATACAACATGTTTTCAAAAGCAAAATAAAGATTAAATGAGAAAATATATAGAATAAAGATTAAGTTTTAAGCTTGAGCTATAAAAATTAGGAGAAAAAAAAAAAAAAATTAATCCTATATAGTCAAGCAAAAAGATATTCAATAATGAGCAATGTCAAAAGTATAAAAGGAAATAAAAAAAATGTTACCCCAAAACTATGCGCATAGTAAAATAATGAGGGAATATAATGATAAAATAAAGAGAAAATGAAAAAGTATGATTTGTAGAGTGACCAAATACATGATAAATTTCATTACGGCAAACAAAACAAAATTATCAAAACATGAGCAATAATTGAACTTTCTTTGTTAGAATCATAAGAATAAATCAATTTAGGTAAAACTAAAAAGATAAATTAGTGCTAATACATAAGAAAAACGTACGATTTCTAATGTATGTATCTTGGATCTAACAGACAAAAATTCTCTCGTTGTAGATAAAAAGACAGGTGTCTGCTTTGATCAGCCCAATTGCCATTTTGTTTTGGATATTCATCATGTTAGCAGCATTCATTCAGTTAAGTGAAGCAAAGTCTACTCACAAACAAATCCTTAAACTAAATTATGGCATTATATTTGAAAAACAAGGTAGAATTCATTTTGGAAAACCAACACTAGTCAAAGGTAGAAGAAAATCTAAAAGAGCAATTTTATCTTTCGTGGGGCAATTATCAAAAACTCTGTTTAACACAGCAACTATGGACGATGTAAACTTATTGGCAAGGCACATAAATGCCTTAACTACTAGAACATTAAAGTTAACAAATACAATGGCTCAACATGATCAACATGAATCTTCATATATGGCATCTGTGGATAAAAGAATTTCAAACCTAGTTACACAAATATCAGACAATCATAATGAAATTAATATGATGCAAAAATCAGTATTAGACCATGTCAGAGATGCAGAAAATTTATTTCTACATCTTCAAGCAAAGATAATAGAATCATTTTCATTATCTTCAAAAATTAATCAACAACTAGAACAATTGAAATTGGGAATTTTTGATTTAGTTCAGGGAAAATTGTCTCCCTTACTAATAAAACCTTCAACTATAACTAGCACAATAAATAGGATCCAACAGGTATTAAATACAAAATACCCAGGATTTTATATTTCACAAACCAGTCAAAATTTTTATTATGATACCAAATATTTTGTATTTTCAAAACACAAATCGGATATATTTGTGATGTTAAACATACCTTTAGCATATAAGATGTCAAAACTTGACTTATATAAAGTAACGTCATTACCATTTCCACATAATTCAACAACTCATGCTACCCAATTGTTAAATACACCTCAATATGTAGCTATTACCAAAGATAAACAGTATTATATAAAATTGTCAGACCAAGAATTAGAAAAATGTACCAAATATGATGATAACTTCCATTGCCAGTTTACGAAATCCTTTTCAACTAGTAAAAGTTCATGTTTAATGTCAATATATAATAATCAGAAAGAGAAAGTTAACCAGTTCTGTGATTTCCGATTCTTACATGATGTTATAAAACCAAAAATTGTTGCTTTAACACAATCGTCTGTCGTAATCTATAAAACTACACAATTAAATATGGATTGTAATGGAAAACAAATAATAAAACAAGGTTGTGATTTTTGTATAATTCAAATCCCATGCAGGTGTTCTATTTTAACCACAAATTTGTATATTCCACCATCTTTTACAAATTGTAAAACATCAAATAATATTACTACTATTTATCCAATAAATCTTGCTTTATTACAACAATTTTTTAATGCGGAACAATTAAAAGATATTCAACCAAATTCTACTTTTAGTACTTTACCAAATATTGCAATTCCAAACTTTAAAATGTATAATCATTCCTTTTCAACATTTTTGTCAAATGATAAAAGAGATCATTTAAGCCTCACAAAGATGGCTGAAGCTACAAAACAAGAAGGTATGGTTTTTCATAATTTGGCTGAGCCTCTCCTAGAAGGAATCATAAATGTTAAAGATAATTGGCCTGATTTAAATGGTATTTTAGGCATGATAGGAACAGTATTAGCATCCATATCAATTATTTTTGCTATATGGGCATTCTTTAAAATAAAAATACTAACAACCGCTCTTATAATACTTCAAGGATCTTGCCATGTAAAATCTATGACTGCCCCATCATTTATTTATAAAAACATTCAAACAACCACATCAAACCCAATTACATCAAATCTTTTTAAAGAACTAAAGTTCAATCATATTCTGGTGGCCATAATTGGTATTTTGATTGTCATTGTGGTTTTCCTTATGTTATACAAAAAGAGAAAAAGTTCACAACATACATTTATTTCATTAGAAATAACCACAGGATCAAACTGCTTAACTCTTCCCCTATGCAAATTGCCACTATGTCCATCATACTGGACTTTTTCAATGCCACCAGAAGTTAAAAGTCTCAGTGTTTCTGGAATCTTTAGACCTAGTTTACATATTAATTGGGATGATTTTATAATAACAAACACTTTAACACAAAAATCTATAGTAGGTCCTAAAAACATTAAAATTTCTTTTTGGGAAGCTTTACGTTTAAAACAGATTTTGAAACAACCATTTTTTGTCTATATTTTATTAAAACATAATAATATGTACAAAGTTATAAACGAGCCTTGAGTTTTGTCAATAATTGCCTGACCATGAGTATTTTCTATCTTGTCTAATATAACATAACATAGTATGGTTAAGATTGCGAAAAATGGCACTGGATTAAGTAACATAAGAATCATTGGATATGCGATAAACTGAAGAATTCAAAGGAACAAAGTGATATCGAAATACTGCGAGGAATACCAACACAACTTCAATATGTGTTCAAAGGAAAATTCAACATAGAAGGATTGAACATTCAACTATATCAGTGTTCCATGTGGAAAAATTAAATGTGTAGATACTGATTCATGGATAGATGTTACAAGAAATAACCGAATATAATGTATTTTTCCGTATATTGCGCGACCTCGTTACCTTTATACAAAAATTATCTCGTATTCTGTTTTTTTACTTGTTAACAAAAATGTAAATATGTTTTATTTGTGAAAATGTATTAATTGAAAGTATATGATATATTATGTTTGTATTATTGCATGAATGAGAAATATTACTCATATTTTGTATTATTTTGTTATAGATATTTAACCATAGCTACTTCTTTTCATCCAGTAGAGGACGTGGAATCAAGCAAGAAATTAAATGCAAAGAATTTTTTGTAAAACCAGGGGCCAAACTTTTCGATCTTTGTGAAATTGCATTTCAAAAATTGAAAAATATAAAAGAAAAAAAATTAGTTTATATTATGGCAGGAATTCCCGACATTTGTATAAAAGACAAAGACTACAAGAAAGCATATGAAGAAGTGTATTTTGACCCAAATTGTGACAAAGTTATGGAAATTAAACATACTTTAGAAACTATTACACAAAGATTAAGTAAAATAAATTGCTATGTCATTTATGTTCCAATTACAACAATGAATATTGAAAAATGGAACTGTCAGAGATTTGATATGAAAAAAACAAAATTCCTTCTTCATACAGAAAACTATACGAAAATGCAAGACAGCTTAAATTGGGCTGTTCATCAAATAAATTTATATATTATAAGACACAATGAAACATCTGAATGGGCTACTCCATTAATACAAGCATATGTCCACAAGTCTACTGGATCAAAGAAAAGATATGCATATGCTAAACTGGTGGATGGTGTTCATCCATCAGAACAATTGATTCAATCATGGGTAAAACAAATACAAAAAACCATGATTGAAAATGAATCCAGGTTAAAAATGTAAAATACATAAAAATTGATGTACATGTATATATGTTATTTTTTGTTATTTTTATATCGACAGTGTTTTTGATAATATTTTTAGGATACAATTAACTTTGAGGGACCAAAGTTTTTTTGTCCGACAGGGTATTTGTGACGTAGTAAATATTCATTCAAAATAGAATAGAAGAATATTTAATAAATGAAAGAATATTAAAGAAATAAAGTAAAGATTTGTTGAATTTACAAAGAAAGTTAGAATCATAATTTAAAATAGAAAGGTTCATATTTTCAAGAAACTAAATTATATTGGTTTAAAAAGTCTTAAACAAAGTTACAACACAATATTATGTAACAGGAAATTTTATAAAACATTATCAAAAAGATTGTGACATGTTAATCCCCCTGAAATAAATTAAGCTTAAGTAATTATGAGAAGGGGCACATTTTAGACAATAAATCATTATCAATTGGGATAGCGTCCCGCCGAAGGCAAAGCGATTATTTTATAAAAAAATAATTGTCTATTGTAAAATAGTGGGAGGGAGGAGTAACTCAAATTAGTTGTAAATTGGGGAATAAATTAACTTTTGATTGGGCAAGCAATTTTAGGCTGATCTTGGCGTGACCACGTGAGGAAAAGGTTTTAAGGGATAAATTTTGATATTAAAACTTCACTTGGTCACTTGATAACAAGAATAAAGATCTAGCCTGAATTTGTGTCCATTATATTTAAGGTATGTAAAGTATACATGTTTGAAACAAATAAGTATGAATAATAATTTAACAGATTTATTTTAAATATAAAATATAACATTGTTCAAATTGAAGATAAAAGAACTTATTCGTTTAACACAAGTTTATCTACAAATTGTAAGGATTGTCGGTTTGTTGAATATTAAGTAAATTAATTAAGAAATCAGGCATATGATAAGTTCCGTAAAGATTGCATGTGTGAGCAGCTATTGGTTTTATTTTTATTATATTAAAGAGACATAATTTGATATTGTTTAGAAAGATGCTCGTGTGAATAATACAATTTCAGAAATAATAGGAATCTAAGGAATATTTAAAATGATATTTATAGATAAGTTCAACTCTAAGATATTCAGGAAACTGAACAATAAGCTGTAAGTTTTGGGATGGCGAAAATAGATAGGTTTGGTCGATAGGAGAAAATGTTTATGTCAACGGTACATCTTGATTATTAAAATCAGGTTTATCACTTTTAGTTGCTAAGATATAAGTATAAATATATTGATTGGAAGTCTTTCAATAATTATGTCTTTAAAGTCTAATCACTCATTTTACAATAGAAGTCCTTATTTAATATGAATAATAAAATGTACTGCCAGTTCAATTTGAGCTTGAAATGTTGAGATGATAAATGAGGATGAGGTATAGTTCTTATGGTGTTCATTGTTATACATTTAAAATAAAATATTTAGTTTGGTAAAAAGGCAGGAACAATCCAATGTTGACTTTTGAATTTATTTTTATATGTTTTTAAAGAATTCATAAATGTGAGTTAGTTCCCTTGTTAATAGATGAGTTTGAAATCTACAGAACTTGTATTTAAAATTCAGTATATGAATGTATGTTGTTTATTTGATATCGCATTTATGTACAACTGTAATTAAATTTCACTTGGTCACTTGATAACAAGAATAAAGATCTAGCCTGAATTTGTGTCCATTATATTTAAGGTCCAACTATAAAAACAGAAGACGATACAAAAACACCCCAAGTATCGACACAACATATATATAACAAACTAATGCCGTGTTCCCACCAAACGTCACGTATTGTAAACATGTTTGCAATTAGTTTCATGTAATAAACACAGTTTTAACATAAATTTGTGTACACCAGTTTTAATTACGTTGCATGCGATGATTTGTTTATACGAGTTAACTATATGTAAGACTAATGTAAATGTGCCTTTAAACTATTTTAACCCCGCCACATTCTGTATGTGCCTGTCCCAAGTCAGGAGCCTGTAATTCAGTGGTTGTCGTTTGTTGCTGTATATCATATTTGTTTTTCGTTCATTATTTTTACATAAATCAGGACGTTAGTTTTCTCGTTTGAATTGTTTTATGTCATTTCGGGGCCTTTCATATCTGACTATGCCGTATGGGTTTAACTAATTGTTGAAGGCCGTACGGTGACCTATAGTTGTCAATTTCTGTGTTATTTGGCTCCTTGTGGAGAGTTGTCTCATTGGCAATCATATCACATTTTCTTTTTTTTTTATATTACATTCAATTGAATAGAAAACTCTAGAGCAGTTAGACGCTATTCATCTTTGGTTGGTTGGTTGGTTGGAGGCGGGCGTTTTATATTGGATTGAATATATTGATTTGAAAAACAAATGCTTCAGAATAGACCTTCAAAAATAAATTGCAAATTTGGGGATACAATTAATTTTACATGAGTTTCTAAAAAATTCTTATTCCTGTATGTTTAATTTTTTTTTTATTTTGGTTTGTTTTTTGTTGACAAAAAGTCGAAAAATATGTGTTTCCCCCATAGAAAGACAAATGGCTGGTGCCTTATGAAAACTGCATTGAAGTACGTTTTGAGAGTTCTTAGGATGTCATCCCGTTCGACCCCACATTGCAGGACCTACCGTTTTTTATTTATTGTTAATTCGTTTTCGTCCTAAAATCAATATTTGCAACTGGACGTAAAGAAAACAATAATCAATCAAAAACCCGTAAATTCATTAATACCACAGTTTCTGGGTGCGTCCGCTCAATTCGGGAATGCAATTTCAAGTGAATGATGTGTAACAGCACTAAATGATGATTGTATCTAGTCTTAAAAGGGGGTAAGTAAGGCTATATTGTTGTATTTAAGGATTTGTAGACACTGGAACTGATCGTAACCAGTTAAAATATCAATCATTGAACATATTTTAATGAATATTTCTGAAGGACTTGCAAAGGAAATGTATATAATCACAGTGGAATTTTCTTTTATAGAAATACAAGTCATCGAATAATTTACGGTAAAAATAGTATACTTTATAATTTGAAATGGCTAGATACGAGTAACCTGCGAGCCTTGCTAGATAAAATTTAATAATATTATCTTATCACGTACCAATAGGCACAATGATCTTTTTTAATGATAAATACTGAACATAATATAAAGACATTGAAGACCATACAATGCCATACAGTTGTTAGCATTCTACGTCATTTGGTCTCTATCGATCTGGTGAAGAGTTGTCGCATTGGCAATCATATCACATCTTGTTTTTATATAATATTTGAATATATTATTTAATTTTCTCTTGCATTGTACTACCGTTCATTTCCTGAGCAGTAACATCTATATCCACAATTTTCGCCGTATTGATTTTTCGTACATGGAAAACAACTTTCTGTCTTTTCATCCGTAGTATAACCTTCTGGACATGCTACAACATAATGAATATATCATAATTTGCAAAATTGCATTCATAATTTTACCACCAGGTTACAATCATGCTTACAATTTTTCGGTTTAAGGTCAGAACACAGAAGGATAGCCAGCCATTACGAATATACCATGTAAAACTAGGAAAAGACATTCAGAAATACTCGTAGCTCCAGAAAATATCGGCGACTGAAAACTTCCATGGGTTAAAACATGAATGATGTTTGCCGAACGATTTCTAAATATTGGTGCCAAAAAGTATGATTGTTGAATTTGTTAGCAAGAATTTAAATAGCCTCATTGTAAATGAGAACACCTACTGTATAAGGCAATATATTTTATTGGTCGATACGTCTTGATCATAATTTGTCAACACTTGAACAGTTCCCCCCTTTTTAGAAAAACTTCATCAGGTTCTAGGTACAAACATAAAACTCATTTAATTTGTCTGATAACATGTATATATGAGTTTAAGGTTAACAATTCCATATTTATTTTGTTAAGTATATGAAATACAAAATCTCATTTCCCAAACATCTTCCTATATCTATGTTATACCCATTTTGGTGACTGGTCCTGTTGGTCCTGTCCTGTTTAAAGTAGCAACTTATTAAAAATATATACTTATATATATATACATATGTACACCTAATTAAAACATTAAACTTTTAAGGTCTTATTTTTGAGGCCCCTCAAGGGGGTGTCCAAGTAATCACATAATCACAATTGTTTTGCCAATATAATCACAGAATCATTAATTATTTTTTAAACAAGATAATCAAATAATCAAATAATTATGAAATATTTGGTCTGGTAATCAAATAATCACTATAAAAACGGTCAAGTAATCACATAATCAAAAACCCCATGAGGAGGCTCATTTTTGCATGTGTTACATTATTCATGTGTTATTTAAATAGCATGATAATGCATTACGCATGTGTGTTAAGAGGCTTGGTTATGTTCAGAGACAAAAAAAGTGTTTCAAATTTATTTAAAAGTTCAGAATTTTGTCGTTTTATTTTATTTCTTACTTCATTTCAACAGTTCAAACATTTTTCACAGTTTCTATTTTAAAACAACTTTTTTAAAGATTTTTTGGAAGAAGAAAAACCAATTTACTAAATAATGCCTCCTTTTAAAAGATGAATGGTCATACCAAATAAGAAAATTGTAGTTCCTGTTACATCCAAATAAAATAGGGTACATAATCACTGTGCTTAAACGACTGTGAGTAACTTAAGTTACACACAGCCCAAGAAGGAGCTACCTGGCGTCGGTAAGAAACTTCTCTCCTATATACTAACAATACCAATTATATTCATTATACCAATAGGGAAATACGTAAGTTTAATATGATGTCCGTAACCTGGGACATAATATATTATAGTATAATAGTCCCAGCCGTAACTTTCAAAGAATCGATACTGGTGGATGTAATTTTTAAACATATTATAGGGATTGCATAGAAAAATAATCAGAAATAAATTAGATTTCCAGTATGATATAATTCTTTTGTGAATACCATGCTTTCTGGTATTATACCCAGCTAATAAACTCGACTTTTTTTAAAAAAAAACATGTGTTATTATTCTCCCTGACATTATACATCTAGTGACATAGATACCATACTTATCACTCAATCAGCCAACAACAATGGAACTTCAAAATTTAGAACAAGGAAACGAGTTTTGGACGAAAAATCAGGACATGCAGCTTATAAAACTCTACCATAATTGCTTGAATAAACCGAGACACCTGTTCAACAATATAGCCTTCCATTTACTCTTAGATGTTGACATTTTCTTTTCACAGCCCACAATACACAACACTAGGTATAGTGAAGAAACAATTCGGAAATTATTTAAAGGAAACGGTATCAATTTTGTCCGCGGCTACAAAGGCTAAGGACTCAACAATGAACAATCTATAAATCCAGAAGAATGTAAGATAAATTTCGCCCTACCATCAGATCCTGTTTTATGTAAACACCCTGCAAAGTATATACTTTGGATGCTGCTAACCAGGTTTACTGGATTTATCTATCAACATAGTATCCGAAAATCGTGAATGAAAAAAAATAACGGTAAATCCGAAAAACTCAGGTCTGATTTTTTATAGCTATGTTCTCTTTTCTCTTAGTTATTTTGACGCATATCGTTATAGTATAAAACTAGGTACTTTTATGTTTTCTCCCATAGGGTCAATGTTAAACTTTTCCTCCGTTTCCATGGCAATGACAGCCATTTTTGAACTTCTAAGTACTGTTGGTACCTCGGGGCACCACTGAAAACATTTGCATAAAGTTTCATTCGGTTGGCTATGATAACGAAGGAATTAGAATTTTGATATTTTTGAACATTTCCTCTGTTTCCATGGTAACGGCGGCCATTTTGAACCATTCCAATGTCTCTTGCACAACTCCAAAGATTGGTCCGCATTATGGTTTAGTTCCATCATCATTGGTCCATCTAATTCCGAGAAATAGCATGGACAAAATGTGTGGAAGAATATAAAATGACTAGATTTGCCATTGCAAGCAATAGCGGATGTTATCCTCCCCCCATTGCCACAAAGCTGCAGCCATTTCAAATTTTTTAAACAGTGAATGCACATATATGCATTGCTATACATCGTTCTGTAAATTTTCAGAACATTTGGAGCATTTTGAAATTTTTACACATTTTTGCTGTTTCCATGGCAACAGCGGCCATTTATGGAAATTCCAAAGTCAGAAGTCTCATTTATACTTGCCAGTGAACTTTTATATTAAGTTTCATTAAATTTGGAGCATTTTGAAATTTTTGATATTTTTGCTGGTTTCCATGGTAACAGAGACCATTTCCAAAATTGTAATGACAGATGCCACATTGGTACATGGAAGGAAACATACAATCAACATTCAATGGATTTGACCTACCATTTTTAGAGAGGAAAAGCTATATTATTGATTGCCATAATCATCCAAAACCAGTATATAGTGGACACCTACATTGTATTAAAATCTAATGATTTTAAGTTTATGCATTCTCAAATAATTCACCAAACTCTAAAATTTTATTTTTTCACTATCTTTCGGTTTCCATGGTAACGGTAGCCATTTTATAGTGCCAAAGTTCCACTGCAACGCAAAAGTTGGTGTTCCTTGTTATAGTGAACAAGCATTTAGATTGGTTCTATTGTCTCTGAGAAAACTCCCGGACAAAATTAGGTGGAAGTATAATAATAATAATAATAATACAGAAAAAGAAACAGAGGAAAAGCAATATGTCACCCGACATTGTCGATCGGGTGACATAACTAGATTTGTGATAGCGAGCAATAACGGATGGCACCCTCGTCCCCTCATTGCCAGGGTAACGGCAGCCATTTTGAAAATCCAAAAGTCGAACATCGCATCTACACATGCCAGTTACCATTACTGTAAATTTTCAGAGAGTTTGAAGCATTTCGAAAAATTTTGACATTTTGGGTGTTTCCATGGTAACGGCGGCCATTTTGAAAATTCCAAAATCATATATCAACTCTGCACATGCCAGTTAATATTTCTGTAGTTTCATAAAGTTTGGTGCATTTTGAAATTTTGTAGTTTCCATGGTAACGGTAGCCATTTTCCAAATTCCAAAGACAAATACCACTTTGACCCTTTACATGTTACATACCCATAAAGTATCATTGGGTTTAATATTTTAACCCATTTCTCTGACGTCATTCTATTGTTCTTACAGTGGATTATTTTTCAAGAATCCACTGACCACTTCGTTAACTTAAGATAACTTATTTTATAACTTATTTTATAACTTTAAACTTTTAACTTACGATTTGTTATCCTCTCAAAAACGAGTGGCAGATGAAGGGTTCGAACTCGCGCGTATTTTCTTCATAATCAGTAGAGTCTTCAGTCTATGCATGATACCACTATACCACGAGTGCTGACATAAATCAACATTTAAATAACACACTTAAAGCGAACAACTGTCAATACATGTCAATAAACTGTATTTCTATGTCAGAGATAATTCGCTTTTGTTATCTTATAAAATATATATATACTATGTCTGCATTTGTTCATGTTCTTTTCAAATTTATTTATATCACGTCAACATTGAACGGACTCTAATTTGAATAAAGTGTGATATATAAGCTACGACCGTAAAACGACTTCTTTGACTGTAAAACCAGAAACAAAACCATCGCCTTTAAATGAAAATGAAGTATATAATACCTCTAAAATTAAAATAATATTTTTGTCGAGAAAAAAATTACAATGAAAAAATTTCATTCCTGATACAAGGCTCGAACTTTGCACTGTTAATATCACCGTTATGACATTCGTTACCAACGACTAGACGATCACGGCTATCAACAGCGTGATGGTAAGTTTATGAAATCAACATAATTATTCATTGTACATCCGTAGCAAGAGCAGTTCTGATGGGGATTCAGAATGCGTACCACAGATAAAACTAGTTTATTGACCGGTGAACGATATATGCCAAATGTAATAACGTTAAAATAATCTTAACTTAATGAAACAGAAACAGTTTAAACAGATTTAAATATAATTGTTCAATTATAGGTTTCACTTTGTAAATACAGCTGTTTCTCGAACCACGCCTCTTTTGGGGAGATATTTAATATTCATAGGTATGTTAATTTGTTAACGTACTGGTTCCCATTGATGATCTCTGTGTTTCATCTCATAGAGACATCACTTGGGAATGTAACCAGTATAGATAAACATGGTAGCGGCTAAATTTTAATTCTTAGGAGGTCCAAAAATGGAGGTAAGGGTAGTATAGAATTTTAGTATAAGTTTAAACTCTTAGAAGTTCAGGGCATATAAATGTTGAAAATATGCCGCACAGCCCTATATTTTGACCTTTGAATAAAATAGTAGTGCATATAAACTTTCCGTTCTGGGATATTATTTTTCACGAAACTTCATAGTAAAAGTGTCACAGTTTTAGCCGCAAAGGGAGTTCCTATGGGAAATTGCAT